CCCAGCACCCAAGCAGGCTCCTGCTGCCAAAAGCCACTCCATTCTTCAGGACAGAAACACCCTCGCCTGCCTCCTCCCAGCCCACTCCTCACTCCTCCGAGCATGAGACACTTGTTTCTCTAATGCCCCAGTAGCTACAGCTACAGTTTGTGGTGTTTTATCTGGGATTTCATGAGGATGTACGAGAGGAAAGCATTTGTCACCAAACCAGTCCCGGCAGCTGACATGCGGCTAAAGCAGAGGCCATGTACTTGAGAAAAGCTGCGTTCAGCAATGGCAGTTTCAGAGATACTATCACTACCAGTGTGCATCCCTCTCCTGGAGTTGGCAGGCTTTCTATAAATGGAGTCCCACCACATCAAAGGCACAGGGTCAGGAAATTGGATCACTCTCCCCCAGCTGTAAATATGAATAGCAGGCTACAGGTCTGACTTAGTGAAAGATCAGTAACATCACAACCAGAAGAAAGCAAAGATAAAAGGCAAACAGTTCCAGCTAGAGACCTCTTTTCTGCTGACAGAGGTCAGCATCTGCTGGCTGAAGGGCAGAAGAATACAAGTCCAGCCTGGCCTGCAGGACAGGGAGCTGAAAGAACCAGCAGAAAGCCCTCATTCTCTAAGTAAATGAGCAAACGTCCAGCATGGGCTAAACAAACCATCAGTGTCTGAAAATGCTTTCCTAAGGTCAGGCAAAAGAACAGATTTAATAACTGTTCTGACTCCTCCCCATTGCACAGCAGAGTGCACTGTGATTTTGTTACACAGCTTATGAAGTCATCACCGCAGATACATTTGAAAGGCAGTGACAGAGGCGTCTCACAAGGCTGACATAAGAAAAAAAAAAAAGGCATCAGGCCTCTAAGTTTGCTAGTCCCATACTTACAGGTCCAGTAACACTGAAGGAAGCACCTCTGTGGAGGAAGCTGCACTTTAAAGCAAGACTAGAGGATAGTCACACACTGTTCCCCCTCCTCCTCTTAGCATCTTTAAGGGATTGCCTGAATACCAGCTCTCCAGTAATTTGCTCAACCTTACTGTATCAGAGCATTCTTCTCAAGTCATCAAAAAATTAGTAGTAAAAATAGCAAGGCAATCATTAGAAAAGCCTTCCCAGAAATACAGGTGCAAATGCCTCACCCTCCCCCAAACCCAAAACTGAAATCACATAGAAATGATACTGACCACAAACACCATAAAATAACCACAGGCCTTCTTTAGCAGCAAAGCACACAGTGCTTAGAAAGAGCAGAACAAATATCCCACCTCTTGCAATTTCACCTAAGGTGAGACAGCTGTGACTAATGGAGCCAAACACACTGACAGGTGGTATTATGAGAGCACTGATGGAACTGTGAAATCAGCTGTGGTCTTAATTCACTGCTTTCAGCATCTTAATCAAGACCAGTTTATGAAGCAAAACAGGAGGCAGCCTTACTTTTAACCCAACGTATTTGTAAGTGTTAGAGGCCACATATAAAGCTGTTTGGTTAAAACCTTTGGACCATCTGTAAAAGTAGGGCTTGTAACCATGATGGTGTCGACAAGAAGAAACAAACAAACAAGCCTCTGCTCAAAAAACAAGGCATATATATAGAACAATTCTGCAGAAATGCCAGAGCACAGCCCCCACTTTTCTCCAAAGCAGGCTGCTTTGACTTGTTACAGTGCTCAATAGTAGCCTGAGCCAGAGAGTGGGCAAGCTGAGTTTGTGCAGCCTCTGCAGCCTGAACCAGGATGGGAGTGGAACGTGCTTACAGCAGGCTTTCACGAGGAGTCCCGCTCCCGCTGGAAGGAAACAGACATCTCAAAAATGTCTCCCTCATTTTCTTCTGTTAAAAGCACATAGTTAACTAAGATATAAGTGGGAAGTTCTTAATTCCATTTTCCAGTGCACAGAGTGGGAAACATAAGTTTATGTAAATAAATGTACGCTCTGCATTCAGACTTTCCCAAATTTAAAACAGAAACATTGAAAAGCAGAATTAGAGCAAAAACAAGAAAAAGAAAACACCAGTCATTTTACATGCAAAATGTAATTAGTTAATTCAACTCACTTCAGCCAAAATATAAGTAAGATTCAGGAAAGGATTAGACACTTATATGGATAATGAGAATATCCAGATCAACAAAAGAGAACAAAGTTTGCCTAATACAATCTCTTTTCTTAGAGCATAAACCGACCTCTGGCAGATGGATCTTGGAAAAGGCTCCTCAGGCCAGGCTGTCCCATAATTTCCTCAATTTTACTGCACCTTCCTTTGAAGCTCTGTTGCATACAGGAAACTAGATTAAATATAGGATCAGTCTGGACTAGCAGTTCTCTGTTTGGGGTTGTGTATATAGGGAGCTTTGTTAAATTCATGGACAATGCACATTTCTCTCATCTTTAATAATGTGGTGGTTAAGAATATTGCTAGAAAGCTAACATTGTATCTCAGCATTATAGCCACTGGAAAAGGTGACTTGCAAGACATTTAGTAGTACAGAAAGTGGATGCAAGACACACGGGGGGGACAGTGCAAGCACTGAGAATAATCACTAGATGAGTTTGGTAAAACATAAATGCAAAAGCAACCAAAAGGAAATAAAATCAGTTTTGTACAGTTCGCTGAGAAACATCAATGAATCGCCAAGGCTGCGAGCCAGCTGTTCAGACCAGGACTTGATTCACTAGCATTTCAAAGTCAGAGACTCTTTGACACAGCACAGGTCTAGGCAGGCTGCACAAACCGTCATTTAAGCTCTCATCAGTGGTGAAAGCAACCAACCTTCTTGCTAGGTAGCCCTGAATGCAGAAGTCATGGCACGGCAGCCTTCCTGTCCTCCTCTGGTAGCTCAACTAAGCATCAGGTTTTAAGTTTGCTACATTCTTCTAGAGCTGAAGCTTTTAATAAGCAATAGAAATTCACGGGTTTAGATTCATGGTTTTATGTCCACTGATCTCAGGGCTGATCCCTGGAAGACCATGCACACACTGAGACATGCACTTTACTAGAAACCTAGGTCCTAAACTTGTAATTGATGACAGACTATGTAGTTTCTCTGGCAGCTTGTTCAGTCATCAGCTGGCATATCCTTGTCTTCATCATCAAGCATATCTTTTAGCTGTTGACGAGCAAACTCCTCAAATACCAGCTCTGCTTCACTGAAATGGAAGAAACACAGTTCTTTCAAAATGATGTTAGCAGTTTTTTTATACCAGCAGACTAAAGAAAACATATAGGAGGAAGAAGAGAAGCCCAGAGCAGATTCTGGTAATGTTTCCTTTGTCTTCAAAGGGATTTGGATCACATTCCCATCTTCACTGGTGGTATTCTAGCTAGTATGAAAAAGCAGTTGATTGAGCAAGTCAGGACACAAACTAAGGAGGTTTTAATCTGTACTGAATCATGTCCATTCCAGCTAAATATTTATCAGCTAGCTAAATAGCATGCAGCCTGAAAGGGTCTTTGTCTAGAAATAAAACATGAAACCTTTCATCCTTATTCCTTCTGTACTAAAATAGGGGCACATAGTCAAACCTATTGAACTTCTGAAACTTAGAGCTACAGAGCAGCAGCTGGCCACAAACACATCCCTCCCCCTCTGACTGTGAGGCAAAACATGTTCTTTTAAACTAGTTTCACATGGTCAGTAACTGATCTTCAACTGATAGCAGCAATTTTTCAAGCCACAGTGACTTACTTTGGATTTAAGCTCATACTCTGTGAACCTTGTGGATTTTCAGACAATTTTGAGGAGTTTTCAAGAGTCAATGCACAACTGCAGCTAGAATTATTAATGAAATATTATTAGTGAATAGTAAAATATTATGAAAAGGAACTTACCCATCCTTCCCTGTAGTCATCAGCATGCAGTAAAAGAGGAAAAAAGGCACACTAATAGTTAGAACAGTGAATGCTAGGACCAGTAAAAATCAATAAACTGACAAGACCAAACAGTACCAAGCAGTAGGATTTGCAGCAATACAAGGAGAATTCCAGAAATTCTCAAAACGTGTGTATGTGCACCTGATGAAGCAAAACTTGATATCCCGAATGGAAAAGCACTCTAGCAACATTGCCCAAGACATCAGAAGGGCTGAGAAACAAAGACAGATTTTCCCATTTACGCTTGCTTGTGGTCACAGCTGTGAGAGACATCTGTGCACACACTTCTACTCAGAGATGACAGTGCTTGTGTGATATGATGTTAGCAGTTTTTTTATACCAGCAGACTAAAGAAAACATATAGGAGGAAGAAGAGAAGCCCAGAGCAGATTCTGGTAATGTTTCCTTTGTCTTCAAAGGGATTTGGATCACATTCCCATCTTCACTGGTTCTT